ATTTTTAGGTAATATTAAGCATGTTTGGGAAATTTCAATTTCGGATGTTTAAACGATTGACTTTTGTCTTATTAGCTCTTATATATATGTGTGTTCTTGGAGCCTTGGACCTAGTTCAACACATTTTCATGGAAAAGAATAGAGAGGGTAAGAATAGAGAGAGATGAGAAGGGAGTTTCACTAAAGGCTAGAGATTGAACAACTTAGAGAGACTTTGGGAGATCTCAACTCAAGGTAAGTTTGTCTAACATTGATAATTCCTCTCTTGAATTTGAGGGTGATACAATCATGATAATTGAACCCAAGGTGTAATCGGATCATGTTTAATCCATTGGGTGAGTTTGAACTAAGTTGCTTATGTATGTATGTGGAGAAATTAGCTTTGATTTCTTACTTTCTCATGAAAGATCATGAAGAACTTACCTTATATATATATGTGATGGTATATATGATGTTGATGAAAAAGGAAATTTGATTATAGTTATGGATTCAACAATTAGTGTTTGCCTAGGTTAATGTATGTATTTGAAGCCTTTGTAACATGAATTTTAGGCTATGTATTGTCAACTAAAAATGTTAAAATGAGCCTTGTGAGGATGTACCAAAAGATTGGGATTTTGTAAGAATTTCGGACAATTTTGAGCAGAATCGCCGCACGTGCGGGGGTCATGGCCGCACGTGCGGGAGGTGCTGCCGCACGTGCGGGGCATTTTGCCGCACGTGCGGGAGAGCTTGCCGCACGTGCGGGGTTCACAGCCGCACGTGCGGCCCATGCTGAAAAACATGGATCGCTCTGTTTTGCGTGTAGAACCCTCTAATGTTGTCGGGATATGTCTTTGATGCCTTTTAATATGTATAAATTCCTTCGAAGTGAAACGAAACAGAAAGTGAATTGTTATGAAAAGGAAACTAAATTGTAAAGGTTGAATGTGTGCAGGGCACATTCCGGGAGGAACAAGCACATCATCGCAACACTGTGAGTAGTAATATCATTATCTGCTTTACATAGGACTAATGCTCTTCCTTAGCACTTCGTTTACGCAACTATGTTAATGTTTCAAGTATATATGTCAATATTCAAGTATGTGGTTCCAAATATGTAAGAAAGAAATGGGTGAGATAAAATACCTTCATGCTACAAGACTTTGGGCCTATGGCCATCTAATATAAGTTATTACGATACGAAACAAAGTGCTACGACGTGAGCCACCTCTAGAATCCGTGTGAGACACCTCTTGAGTTCGTATAAGCATATTCACGGGCCTTGTGCCATCATGTTTAAGGGCCACGTGCCACCATGTTTAAGGGCCTTGTGCCATCATGTTCAAGGGCGTCATGCCACCATGTTTAAGGGCATCTTGCCACCATGTTCAGGGGGGGCATTATGCCACCATGCTCAAGGGCGTCAAGCCATTATGAATTAAGAATATGATATGTTAAGCAGTTATGTTCAAGATTAAGCCTAAAGCCATTATAAGATGGAATACAGAATCAGGCTAACTTTGTAATCTCTGCACTTCCGTATGTATTGATATATGCCATGTTTCAAGTTGAGCATTGTTTCATTCATGTATTACTATTCACTGAGCCCGGCTCACTATTTGTTATGTCTGTTTCTGTAGGCAATCAACCAAGTGGTCAATCCTAAACCATGACGCCCGGTTTCTTTTGTCAACCTTCCTGTACCCAAGCACTTTTGAGGCCACTTATTTTGTGAAGTTTATTGAGATAATTGGCTTACTTTTTGGTTATCCTCCCAAGGTTGTGTGTATAAAACTTCAACAGTTTTTGTTACATGCCCGATGCTAGGGCTGGGTCTGTATATGTGTTTGTGTATATGTACTGCTAAGAAATATTTATTTTGGACTCTATCGACCTATTATGATACATGTGATGTATGAGATCCTGGCATGTTAGAAATAGCTCAATGGAGTTTGTTGGTTTAGTGTTCTTTTAATGTTATGTGCTTCCGACAAGGCCCCATATGCTATATATACCAGGTTTTATGTCTGTTTTTGAATGGGTCATGCCCGAACTTTTAGGGGCAAGTTAGGGGCGTGACAACATAAACGGCAGAACAGTTCAAGACATCACGTTCACTGGTCAGCCAGTAAATCCGATAGGCTTTCACTACGAAAGGTTCAAGGCCAACAACTACCTTTTCTGATGTAGGGTTAGTCTATGTGCTCTCTCTCTTTCCGAGTCTTTGTTAATAAACGTTGAGCGTTTGCTGTATTCGGTCAATTTTTATTCATGTGGGGGATTGTTGGAGAAAAATGGTTGAATAAGAAATTGCCTCATAAATGTGTATATAACTCACACATTTAAGGCTCATCAGTTTTAAAAAATTGATTGGACAGTTTTGCTAGCATTAGTTGCCAGCCTTGATGGCTAGAGGCTCCTCCCCTCTCCCCCATGGTGTATAAAAGGAGGCCATGTTCCTTGAAAAGAGATATAGAATTTTTCTTTGACATCCATACACTGTCAGTCTACTTCTCCTATAATTTTCTTCCTGAAAGAGAGTGCTGCCGTTGTCCGTTCGGTAAGCTAATCAGAAGGTGCTTCTGTTGTAGCTGGTAAAAACCGTCGTATCCTGGGAAGTAGACGCCGGCGTACCTCCAGCACCCAACGGTGAGGCGGCGAATCTATTTTAAGGAGACTGTGGTGTTACACAGGTTTCGGTTTGCTTCCTTTAACCATTTTATATTTTATCTGTATTTTATTCAGCATGTTATTTTTCCTGGGATTGAAGGTTTGTTTTGTTCATCTCATAATTTTGCGATATGCAATGTGAAATTATGTAATGTGAGTAGTTTGTCCCAACAGGTGAGTTACAGTTTGTCCAACTTGATGGTGGAAGTGGGGTTCCAGATAAATTGTTATGGCGCTAAGCAGCTAGATCACCGTGGGTGGAAGGGGATTTGGAGGATTAGCGGTCCTCTTCCTAGGAGTTCCACACTTGGTTAGCACATCATGATCGACTGTTAACCAATTCTATGAAGGTACGCTGAGGTCTGAGTTCTAATTTGGTTCTTGTTTTTCGGACCTATTTTTTTGAAAATTTCAGAGTTGTTATTTGGTCGTTCAGAATCTGTGTTTTGGATTATTTTTTAATTTTATTTTTAACATGATCTTAGTAGATGCGAGATACTACAACCTATTATTTTATTCCTACTACTCTTATTAAACTCTGCCTTGTTTTCTTTTTTCGAACCTACCTTGTACATACATGCATGGGTCTAGTGTTGATGTGACAAATTTTTTTTTTTTTTGGTTTTTGTTTTTTTGTTAAATGTATTTTAGAAGCAGCCCTCTCTCTGCAATTGTGGAGGGAAATTTGAAAATACAATAATGCATTTTTTAGAAAACCAAACACATATCCATTTTCAAACCTATATCCATTTTCAAAACACTATTTTCAAATATTTTTTTTGAATAATAACCCAAAAAAATGAAACCAAACATGGTGATAAGCTTCCTGCTACTTGTGTGGGCATTGCACGGAATCAACTTTACATGCTTTTCGGGATTGTTTATCTCCGATGGGGATTTGGAAGAGTCCTATTCCTCCTCGCTATTTTGATCATTTCTTTACCTGCTCGTTAGTTAATTGGATTGATGTTAACCTTGGTAAACCTCCGTGGAGTGGGGTATATAGAAAACGGTGGCCTCTTGTTTTTCTAGATGCTATTTCTCACATTTGTTGTTGGGGGAATCAGCGAGTACATGATAGAGGTTGTCAGTGTCCTAGTGACCCTGTGGGTGTCATTCAACAGAAAGTGGGCGAAGTGATTGTGGCAGAGAGTTTTGCAGCAAGAAGGCCTTTGTCCTAGTATTGCGCAATGGATTTCTCCACCTTGGGATTGATTGAAGCTCAATGTTGGGGTAGTGGTTGTGGCCTATGGCAATGCCGCAGCTGGGGGATTGATTCGGGCATCAAATGGTGAATGGAGAGTTGGGTTTTAGCACTATGTCAAAATGGCTCACTACCTTACGACAGAATTGTCTGCCATTTAGTTGGGTTCACTGTTTGCGTCGTCTGAAGGCTTTCGGTTTGTTTTGGTTGAGTCAGACTCATTAGAGGGAGTTCGGCTTATTCTGAATTTGGATAAAGCGCATCCACAAGCAGAGTTGGGCAACGAGTTTCAGAACTGCTTCAACGAGATTGATGTTGTGATCTAGTTCATATTCCGACCATTTAGAAATGAGTGTGCTGACCATTTAACAAGGATGGCTTTGGCCTCTCGCCAATGTAATTGGGTTCTCCGAGGTGCACCCTGTAAACAAAATTTTAGAACATGAAACTTTATGTTTTGGATCATCTACCATGTGAATCATCAAGAAATCAAGACAAAAACTTACCCGAATGCATCGATGAACGGTTAAACGGAAGCGTGATTATCAATAAACCCTTTGTTATTGATTTTGTTATTGCCTTCTAATCCTTTCCCTTTTGGTGCCTTATGTTTCTCCTTGAGAGGATTTAGAAGAAAAATGGCAGTTCTACTCCATTGGAAGGAATAGGGACCATAACCTTTTAAGGTTGAAATTGGTTTTCAAAATGAAACGGTGTGGCAGTTTAAAGAAGGAAAACCAACTTAACCAATATGTTTTAATTTCTATTTCTGCCCCTCATAGAAATAGAAAAACTAATATGTTTTAATTTCTATTTCTGCCAGTCATAGAAATAGAAATTACTCAACTAGTATCTACACATTAGGTCCATAACACATACACCCTTAAGCCTATTAATTAAATTGAATCACTTAAATTGTAGGCTTCTTATAAATGATAATACCACATTTAAATATGTGGTCCCATTGAGACATTATCTAACACACCCATGGCAATCAGAGAGTCGCTCCAACAAGATATACAGGCTATGGGTCCTGCAAGTTCTATTTTTGCTTAGTTTTGTTTCTTGGCTTTGTTCTCCTTTGTACCAATAAAAATAAATAAATAAAGAAGGCATCAAGGTTAAAATTCAATAAGAATCCATATGATGTTCTTGAAGATTGATACAATAAAAACATGAAATCATTGAGATTCAAGTTTTTGAACGTCAATGTATCTGAATACATAGTTTTCTTGACTAGAACGAAATCGCTGGTTACAACTTACACGAGAATAAAGGTTCTAAATGTTTTTTAGAAACTTGTTTCGCAGAGAGAAATTGATTCCAACAATGACAAGATGATAAGATAAATGTCAACTTATATTTTTTGCTTCTGTTACCACAATTCTTGGTCTAAGACCATCCACAGACAGTGGTAAGAACATAAAGCATCAGTATAGATATTGGGTAGAGAAAAAATGCCACAAAACTTGTCCACAGTGGGAAACTTGTGCGGAGACTAGTGAAGATGCCCATCACAGTGCAAATAATTAGAACAACTAGAACTTCAGCTGAGACATCCCATGCGAGATTCCTTATATAAATGAGTGCCAGAAACGTTGCTAAACCCATCATGTTGTTCATGAACACTGCACCATATATCTGTGTTGAAAAATTTCTGAGTGTCAAATGACAATTAAAATTTTCTATTTAGGGATTAAATATACTACAAAGAAAGCATAAGATTCGGAAAATTTAAAGTGCGCAAAACTAATATACAACCATGTGATATGGGGTGATAAAATTGGTATTTGAAAGACAAATCTCAATATGAATCATGACTGGGTCGTATTGTACTTGATTTGCACTGTTAATGTCAATAACTAGTCTTGCAATTTCTTTACTAAATCTTGGGAATGCGGACAAAAATAGGCAAATAAACTTGGAACATTATTGTGTAATTTTGGGCCACCACTGAGGTAAGTGCACATAGTGTTCCTGATTAATGAGCAAGGCACATAAAATGGGAACGATATAGGGCCAAGCCAAATGACAGTTGTCTACCACTTGGTCAATCAAGCTGGTTCAGGTTGGCTCCACATTTAATAATTAATTCTTTTATTGGATCAAGAATATCATATCAACATATTGAGTTAGTACTATGGAATTATTGAATAATTTTGCTCTAGATGTTCCTACACAAGTTTAAAACTCTTGTTTATTAATTTGAGTGTAGTAATAGCAATGATGAGCATAACAAATAATTCAAAGCTATTAGCAAGTTTATTACCTCAAAAACCCAATTAATTAGTCTATGCAATCATAAGAGAACTCAATCTACAACAGTACCCAACCATCTTTGTTAGATTATGACAAAGGAACTTAAAAATTGTGTGGTAGAGAAACAAACCTCAGATAATGTTAAAGAGATTGCCTTCTGTGTCTTCTGCCTGGAACTAGTTATTGCTGAAAGTCCAAGTCTGTAATTCAAAGCCAAAGGAATCACAATGTATGAGACATAGAAGGAAGAGATATTTGCAGCACTCGCAAAATCTGAAATAGCTTCAATGAGGGGTTCTGCAAGTATGACTGTTATTGCAGTTCCAAGAAGCAATAGGAATGCAGCTTTAAAGTGATTTGACCATGATTTTTTCGCGCTTTGTCTCTTCGTTCTTTCAGTCAACAGACTCTGTTGTTCTTCCATAGGACTCTGCATATCCACAACAAATATCAAGGCACCGTAGTTTTGCTTTTTAGGGATGGAACCATGCTTTTGAGAGGGGGACATTAAATAGGCGATGGGGATTTATAGTGTTTCTGCAGTGAAAATGTAGGCTGAATGCATAAAAATTAAATGACTAGATAAAAGCCCTATTTTGATGCATCTTCTTCCAAGACAAAAGCTAATAATCAAAATATATAAATTAAAACATTTCTTCCTCAGTTTTCCAGTAACTAGAATTTTTATTTATTTTTAATTCTTTCTCGGTTTTTTTGAGCTATTTTTGTCTCATAAATTGTAAGTAGAAATTGTAACAAACACTTTGATAGACATTTCCAAAATAAAAAGTAATAAGTTGGCTCGATAAATTGTAGAAAATAGCCCCAAAGTAGACAAAGGGCATATTTTTTTGCTTAAGTAGCCAAAGGGAAGCATACAGGTTGAGCGAGAAAAAATGCCTATTTAAGGTCTAAATAAAAAAAATACTCTGTTGAGACAATGCTGACTCATGGAATTTCCATAGTCTTAAACAAGGGAGTTTTTTTGATAAATCCATTTTCTAAGAGTTTTATTCCATCCAACCCATATTCTTTTTGACTATTCCATTAGGTCCAATTTGAGATAAGAAGACTAAAATACCATTTTCATCTACTTATGTTCCATTTAGTTCACATTATTTTCTTATATTTCAACAAGTCCTATAGGTGACATAATTACCAAAATACCCCTAATTTGAATATTCACATCGTCAATGTGAATGTTCACATCGTCAATGTGTAGGGGCCCGGCCCATGTCGATCATCGTGGGTGCTCGGAAAAATTCGAGTCGGGCCGGGCCGGCTCACAGGCCAAAAAAATAGGCCCGACCCCGCCCGTTGATAATGTGAATATTCATATTGACAAGTTAACATTCACATTGATAGGAGTGTAAAATTGGCCCGCGGCCTGTGGGCGGCCCGAAGCCAACCCACCGCCCGGGGCGGGCCTGGGCCGGCCCGTTCATAATGTGAATATTCACATCGACATATTAACATTAACATTGATAAGAGTGTAAAATTAGCCCGTGACCCGTGGGCAACCCGAAGCCTGGGCCCGAGCTGGGCTGGGCCCGGCCCGGCCTCTTGACAATGTGAATATTCACATTGACATGTTAACATTCACATTGATAGGAGAGTAAAATTAGCCCGCAGCCTATGGCCGGCTCGAAACCCGTCCGCAGCTCGTGAGCTGCCCTGGGCGAGCCCGGCCCGACCCGTTGATAATGTGAATATTCACATTGACATGTTAACATTCACATTGATAAGAGTATAAAATTAGCCCGCGCCCCGTGACTGCCCGAAACCAGCCCACAGTTCGTGGGCGGCCCGGGGCGGGCCCGGCCCGGCCTATTGCCAATGTGAATATTCACATTGATATATTAACATTCACATTGATAAGAGTGTAAAATTGGCTCGCGTCCCATGGACAGCCCGAAGCCCATGGGCAGTCCGGGGAAAGCCTGGCCGGGCCGTTGACAATGTGAATATTCACATTGACATATTAACATTCACATTGATAGGAGTGTAAAATTGGCCCGTGGCCGGCCCGAAGCCCGCCCGCTGCCCAGGGCGGGCCCGGCCTGGCCTGGCCCGTTGACAATGTGAATATTCACATTGACATATTAACATTAACATTGATAACAATGTAAAATTGGCCCGTGACCCGTGGGCAGCCCGAAGCCCGGCCCCGATCCATTGATAACGTGAATATTCGCATTGACATGTTAACATTCACATTGATAAGAGTGTAATATTAACTCGTGCCCCGTGGCTACCCGAAACCCGCTCACGGCCCGTGGGTTGCACGAGGCAGGCCCGGCCCGGCCTATTGGCAATGTCAATATTCACATTGACATGTTAACATTCACATTGATAAGAGTGTAAAATTGACTCGCGTCCCATGGGCGGCCCGGGGAGGCCCGGGTTTGGGTCCGGGCCTATCCTGGGCCGCGGGCAAGCTTCGGGCAGCAGACAAATTTTACACTCCTATCAATGTTAATGTTAACATGTCAATGTGAATATTCACATTGTCACGGGTCAGGTCAAGCCCGCCTCGGGCTGCGATCTAGTTTCGGGCCGCCCACGGGCTGCGGGCCAATTTTACACTCATATCCATGTTAATGTTAACATATCAATGTGAATATTCACATTGCCAATGAGCCGGACCCGCCCCCGCCTGAGGTCGAGCTTCGGGCTGCCCACGGGTCACGGGCCAATTTTACACTCTTATCAATGTGAATGTTAACATGTCAATGTGAATATTCACATTGTCAACATGCCGGGCCGAGCCTGCCCTGGCCACCGACTGGCCGTGAGCCTGTTTCGGGCAGCCACGGGGCGCGGGCTAATTTTACACTCCTATCAATGTGAATGTTAACATATCAATGTGAATATTCACATTGTCAACCGGCCGGGCCGGGCCCGCCCCGGGCCGCGGGTGGGCTTTTGGCCGCCCATGAGCCACAGGCCAATTTTATACTCTTATCAATGTGAATATTAACATGTCAATGTGAATATTCACATTGTCAACAGGCCGGACCGGGCCTGTCCCGGGACGCCCATAGACGGCGGGCGGGTTTCGCGCCGCCATGGAACGGGGGCCAATTTTACACTCCTATTAATGTGAATGCTAACATGTCAATGTGAATATTTACATTGTCAACGGGCCGGGCCGGGTCAGGCCCGCCTTGGGCTGCTGGCCAATTTTATACTCTTATCAATGTGAATGTTAACATGTCAATGTGAATATTCACATTGTCAACAGGCTGGGTCGGGCCCGCCCCGGGCAGCCCACAAGCCGTGGGCGGGTTTCGGGCAGCCACGAGGCGTGGGCTAATTTTACACTCCTATCAATGTGAATGTTAACATGTCAATGTGAATATTCACATTGTCAACGGGCCGGGCCGCGGGCTGGCTTTTGGCTGCCCATGGGCCGCGGACCAATTTTATACTCTTATCAATGTAAATATTAACATGCCAATGTGAATATTCGCATTGTCAATGGGTCGGACCGGGGCCCCGCCCGGGCCGCCCATAGGCCGCGAGCTGGTTTCGCATCTCCACGGGACGCGGGCTAATTTTACACTTCTATTAATGTGAATGTTAATATGTCAATGTGAATATTCACATTGTCAACGGGCCGGGCCCGCCCCGGCTCGCTGGCGGGTTTCGGGCCGCCCATGGGTTAATTTTACATTCCTACCAATGTGAATTTTAAAATATGAATGTTCACATCATTAAATTGTTAATCATTCAAAAAATATTTATAAATGTATCAAAATTAAATATAAGGGCATAAGTGTCTAAGAAAATAGTGTAAATCAAGAAAATGGACTTTATGGAATAAAACTATACATACATGAGACTAAATGGGTTAAATAATTCCTTCATGGATTTCTTGGATTAAAACACTTCTAAATTGGATTTATCAATAAAAATCTCCTTAAACAATGGATACTAGAGAAGATACTGAGCAGCTACCAAAAAAAAAAACTCTAGAAGATTCATAGGAGCATTGGAATGGGATAGATGCAAGGGGATTGTATCTACATAGTACGGACATCATATAATTTACTTATTGTAAAAAAATTAAAAAAAGAAAGGAAAAAAGAAAAGAATTTGAATGGGATGGGGGCCATGATGCCTAGCAATGCTACCAAGTATGAAATTTTTTTTTTGAAAAGTTGTAAAAATGAGGTGTATGAACCAAATTCATTGTATCTGTGACTGTATTACACTAAATTTGAACATATAACATGCAATTCATTTTTTGAGGTCTGTCACAGTTGATATGCATACATTGACATAGATCCTTCAATAATTGGAATTACCTTATCACTGCAACCAAAAAGCTTAAAATCATTATGATGTGTACCAACAGATTGCCGAGCATCAGATTCAGAAATGTATTTCAGCAACCCTTTAACAAACTCCTGCTCATCAATCTGAGCATCACCAGAGGTGTCAAATGCTGCGATGACCTTCTCTACAAATTCATCTGTATTGAAACCAACTTCTTCTAACTGAATCCCTAGAACCAGCACTCTCAGTTCCCCTTGTGATATGTATGCATTCTTATCCTTATCGATTTGATGAAATAACCTGTTGGTGTATATCTATAGAGTTACTAGTTGGAATAATTGAGCATATATAGAAGAACATCAAATTGAACTAATGAGCATTGAGATTCAGAAGTTTAAAAATACCAGTAACTGCAACAAATTAAGTGGCTGTTTCTGACATTGAAATAAGCTCATAGCAATGTCAGTTATAGGTTTGAGGGATTACTTTCATCAGCTACTGATTTTAATGCTTGGGACTCTAAGCATGTTCATAGAGAAACTAATGCACTTGCAATTTGCTATTTTGATGCCTAAAGTCTTATGACGGTCTTGAATTCAATCCGAATTATGCTTATTACTTGTTGCCTATCTGCATGACCTGATTAAATATCCAATATGGTATTTTTATTTGGGTCTATATTGATCCGGTTTGTTATTATTTGAATTCTTGTATGTATTGCCTTATTTCAGAGTTTTAGGATTTATGGTCTTTAGAACTTATGTAATAAAGGGTTGTTGAGGGAACCCACTCATTATATTATCTACATTCAGAGTGAAACTCTTTCTCCATTCTTCCCAAGTGAACTAAAACCTATGAGCGAACCCTTTAAATTGTTTGAACTGTTTTTTCTTGTTGTTTTTGTATTTATTATTTTTAAATATTTGGTTCCATCGTAAAAACTTTATACGTAAGAGACATGAATACACACACACATATATATATGTTTAAAGGATAATTTTTTATTTTTTTATTTTTTTTTTGAACTAAGGATCCGCTGTTCTCAAATTCTTGTTGTATTGTCTCAATTTATTTTCAACTATCAGATCATATGAGAATATCAAGATATATGAATCTCGAGGTATAATTGAATGATTAAAAATGCATTGAGATAGGAAGGCAGAAAATTTTGGGGACAAAAAATCTCATACCTCTTTAGTTTCCAGATAATGATTTCAAAATGAGTCATTTACCAAAATATGTTTAATTAGGGAAATTATTCGATACTCCTGGAGCACCACATGATCATACTCCAAGCCAATCACCAATTTCTTAGGTTGTTTTCCCATCCCAACATAAATTGCGGGCCCCTACGCCGCTCCACCAATCAAAATCTCATGAAACACCACGTGTCCATACTCCGGTAGCACTGAATAATCACCCGTTTAATTGACTACATGCAGGTTATTCTAGAATTTAAATAAAAACACAGCCGAATAGGAAACTAACTCTTTCATAAAAGCTATATTAGGTCTGCCATTGGTGGTGAGGAGTTGTAGTAACTTGTTCTTCACATATTTGTTCATCAAGTACTCAAATCTCCTGTTCTGAATCCATGGCTGGAATACCTGCACAATTATTTGTCACATGAAAATATAATTTATTTTTTCCTGATTTTCTTTTATGCTTCTGAAAATTTATATAAAGTTAATGAAAGTTTAATTGATCAAACAGACCCATTTGTGCTTGTGATCCCTTGCATTTGACTGGTCATTTTCTGTTTTCGCTTTTGGTGTTTTTGAAAATAAAAACAATAAAAAGCTCATAAACACCTATGAATTTCATACTATCCTTAAAAGGTAGATTATTTTCAAAAAAAATTCCCAAAAACAATTTCTAAGAAATAAAAAATAAAAACAAAATCAAATTGGTTGGTCTTGGGTTTCCAATTACCTGATAGAAGCAGTAAGCAACTATGAAAGCAAGAGTAACAAAGAGAGAAACAAGGATTGTGACACGTGCCCCAGTGGAAGAATTGAGAATTTTGGCTAATTGAAGAATGAGAAATGGGAGCATGGATAGAATCATGATTCTTGCTGTGTAGCTAGTTTCTATATCAGTACTAACTCCATAACCTGCAAAGAGGGAGAATCAATTTCAACAAATGCTATGTGGCCAATGGTCCCAAAATCAAATATGAATGCAACTCATATTACAATAATACTCTCTTTATTTTAGCGAAAATATTTTTCGCCCTTTTACAGTATAAAACAAAAGTCAATGACTTTTTTGTTCTTTGTTTTTTTCTTATTTTTGTTTTTCGTAATTAAGGAAAGAGGAGTTGATTTAAGCCGAAAACATTTTTCAGAATATAGGTTAGCTAATGCTCACCAACACAAAAATGACCACCCACCGTTACCACTACCTCCCTCTCACCATTATCGCCACCAACATAACTCTACTACCATCCTAACACTGTTATCGCCACCATAACTCTACTGCCATCACTATCACTACCACCTCCACCATTTTCACCCAAGACCACTCCTACCACCACAATCACTGTTGTCCAGGACAGAGCCAAAAAATATATTTAACGGAGTGCCAAAGTAAGTGTAAAAAGGATCATTATCACGCATAAAATTCACAAGTTACAGGATTTGGGAAATGTCAATCGTACAAAATTTTGTTCCTGTGTGAAGATATTGTTTTTATGATTTGAATCTATGACATTTAAAATCAAATTAAGACAATTGATAATATTGCATAGCACTTTTGTAATAGAGTAATAGAATATTTGTTCAAAAAAGTAGAGAGGTCATCCCATATATATGGTGAAAATACTATTGAAATAGAGGTCAATAAAAGAATTTTTTAAAAACATGGGAGGGCCATTTAATAGATATTATCGAAATACTCTTAGAATTTGATGTAAAACAAGTGGCTACAGATTTCTTCAAGCAATTGGACAAACACAAGTCAAGGAAATAGTTATCTATTTTACTTGTGGATTCAAGGGTTTCTTTGTTGTGAGTTCAAGAGTTTTCGTTTACTAGAATGATATTTAGCCCGTATGTTTCCGCTGTGTCAGAATTGATGGGTAATAATATAATTTGCAAAAAAAAAATTTACTGGGGGCTCGGCAATGCACAACTCCATCCCTGTCGTTGTTACCACTATCAGCACTACAACTATGACTACTACTGCCCCTCCATCATGTCACCCTGTCACCACCACGACAACTACTCCAACACCACCATACCACAAACCAGTATCACATCATCATAGGGTCGCAATCACACACACAAGCAAATATTTTTGTTTTTTGGAAATCGTTTTTCACTTAAGGAAATTGTTTTTGCTCAAATAAACCGCAAATTTAAATATACATTCTACATATTATTTTATTGTATCTTTAGTTATCCTTGATGCTGATCAATACAAGTTGATTGTAAAAAAATAAAAAATAAAAATAAGAAAAACATAAAATAAAATAAGAACCTGTAAAACTGAATGGTTTCTTAATTTCTGTATCGGTTGTTGAAGGTAAAGTTTTTGAAAGATCAGTGTTGCCAAAAGCAACACAAGATCCCCAAATTAGAGTGAGAAGCATGACTGCTGATCCTGCTAGAAGCCCCATACTCATTACTGCTTGTTCTTCAGCTGTATCTGCACTTGCTACAATTCCGGACACTGCAAAAAATAACTTAATCTAGATTAGATCCATCATCATCAACTATATTAATTTGTATCAGTTTGTAATTGTAGCTGAGAAATAAACTTGGTCCAATTATTTGTGAAAAAGTCCAGAAACATAAATTAATCACAAAACCAAGTACTATCTTTAGAACTGGAACCAGACCCAACTCATGCAAGATAGTTATATCCAGTTTTATGATTGGTTTAGAAGAACTGAATATTTATTGATGTGTCACGAGTCCTGTATGTGTATTTGGTTTCTATAAAAACTTCAACATGCTAGGAAAAAAACTTTATTCGTCATTTTATTTTTCAATAAATCTTTTGTTTTGTCGATAAAAATATGCTAGGAGTACAAAATAATCCAAAGAAAATACAATTGATAGCTAAATTAAACCCAAGTATTGTTAGGTCCACGTTTAAAATAAATCTTAGTCATTCAATGTATCTTTTTATGATTTATTATGTATTTTTATTATATTTTGTTTACATTGGTGATAATAATTGATTGAGAAAAGATGTTAATTAATAAAATCCACTTACATTAGCCATGAATCCGATAGAAGAAGTAACTTGCATATTTATTCAGTTACATGTGACACCATAAACACTATGTACCAAAAAGGAAAAATTGGTTTAACATTGCTCTTCAACATTTGATAGTAGGAGAGGCACACAATATTATTTTATGTTTGTTAAGGTCCCGCACCCATTTTTGATATTGTAAAATACCTAATTACCCTTTCATATAAGATATGTTGATTTTGATTTGAAAATTGAAGATCTTTTTTATTGTTTTGGTGGAGATTTCGTAGGGATTGAGATTGCGATTTGATTTTCGATTCTCTGTGATTTCGTTGTTCATTGTTCTAATGGAGTTGGTTTCAAGTTGTTCTATATTCTTTGTTCATTGATTTCAATTTGATTTATATATAAGGATTCCAATTTCGCATTAGGTTTTCGATTCTGATTTGTGCTTCGCATTAGGTTTTTGATTTCAATTTTGATTTAGAGATCGCTTTTTTTGTAATTTTGTTGAAATTTTTGTTTTTGAAGTTTTATTCGATTTGATTTTGAGTTGATTTCTGATTGTGGAGTCGATTTTGAGTTGATTTGTAGTAGAGGTGTTCGTTGTTCATTGAATTCAAGTTAATTTGGCCAAAGAAAATCAATATGACAAGGGAAAGAAAATCAAATCTCTCTGATCATCACACAGAGAAATTTATCTCAGTCTTTCAAAATGTTCACTATAAAGATAGAGAAACCCCATGGCAAAGAAAATCAACATGCTAGAGAAAATTACACACTTTGATTTCGAGTTGATTTGCAGCAGATGTGTTCGTTGTTTGTTGATTTCAAGTTGATTTGGCTAGAGAAAATCAACATAACAAGGGGAAGAAAATCAAATTTCTTTGGCCATCACACAGAGTAGTTTATCCCTGTCTTTCAAAATGTTCACTGTAAAGGTAGATAAATTCCATGACAAAGAAAGTCAACATACAAGAAAAAATTACACACACAACTAGCTTGAAGAAGAAGCTCAAAAGGGGAGTATTAAGTAAATTCCAAAGAAAATCAATAGGCACAAGGAGAATTCTAGAGAAATTTCATATCTCAATGGGAGATCTTAGTACTTGAGAAATTGTAGAGAAAATCAACATGCCAAAGAAATTTAATTTTTACAAATGTCTCTAGCTATCACACACAAATCTAGCTAAGGTTTTAGGCAAACAAAATCAACTTATCAAGAGGTAAATCTTTCACAAATTTCTCTAAAATGAAAGAGAAAGTCATCTCAGTCTTTAATTAGAGAAAATCAATTGAAATATGTTTGATGCTTTTCAAAATATTCACTGTAAAAGACTGAGTTTTTTTTTTTTTTTTTTTAACAAATTTCTTTGACTATCACATATAAATCTGGCCCAAAGTTATGAAACCCTAATTACGAACAAAGATGAACTGAGATGAAGATGAACTAACTCAATGATGAACAGTGAAAATGTGTGAATCAAATTTGTGAAGAATGGCAAAGATTTTCGTTGTCTATTGTGAAGATGAAACCTTAATTTCGTTGTTGATCGTGAAGATGATGGACTCGATCGTGGAGATGATGAAGATCAGTTGTCAGATAAGATGGGAGTGTTTTTATATGTTGATGGTAGAGGTCATTTTGGTCCAAAAACTTGATACAAAAAGCACCTTTTTTTTTTTTTTTTTGAAGGACCTAATCTACTATGTTTTTTTGGAGTATCTTCTAAATTCATAATATTCGGGACTTTAAAAAAAAAATCCAAAATAAAAATAGAAACAATCAAATTAGAAAAAAAATCAAAATCAAAATATATAGTGTAAATTTGAAGTTGAAGTGGTATGATCCACAATCAAAATAAATTTGATTTATACTTCAAATTTTGGATACTTTTGTAATTTATTTTTATGAATTCGGGACTTTAAAAAAAAAAAATCCAAAATAAAAATAGAAACAATCAAATTAGAAAAAAAATCAAAATCAAAATATATAGTGTAAATTTGAAGTTGAAGTGGTATGATCCACAATCAAAATAAATTTGATTTATACTTCAAATTTTGGATACTTTTGTAATTTATTTTTATGAATACATATCAATGTTGTAAGCCACAATTAGTCATCCACTAAACTAGTCATTTGTATGAGCATGAAATAATCTATCTCGTATAATTCTGTTGATCAAGTTTGCACTCCTCCAAACGTCGTTGTCTTATCACCTGAAAACACAAACGTGAGCTAGCCGGTAGGTGTATGCCGGAAACCTCTCCGATGCCTAAGTCAGCAAGTAGACAATAGACACAAAAGATTTGTGAATTCGGGAGTATGAATTGTAATACCTGTGCATGGGTTATGTCATGAGCTTTTATAGATTCTGTCTGGCACAATCCTAGTAGGACTCTAACTCTCCTTAGTAGAGTCCTTCTAGGAGTCGCATGCTCAAGGATAATGCTTATCCTTAGAACACCCTCATCAGTGCAAGCCAACTGAGACGGAAAACTCTTCGCTCGACTAGCTATGATCGAGGTACCATGTTTCGGTTCACTACTGACTGCATCGTGTGTTAGTCCTCCATACGAGCTATGCCGAGCTAAAGGTATCTTGGCCTCATTCACTTTTCCGATAGTCTATTAGCTAGGCCCCAACCCTCTGGTCGATCTATCATCCGTTTTGCTCAAGACAGAACTGCCTTTCTCGGCCCACTGCGTGGCCCAACCATCACTGAGCGTGTAATTTAGCTCAGCCCAATTTGATCACACAAATTATCCTCTCAATTGCCCTTAATTCCATCTGTGAAGCGTAAGTGGGATTACCTACCTTTAGCCGAGCTGAAGCTGGTTCTGGTTGACCGACCTAACCTTGGCAACTTAGTTTGCTTAATTTATTCGATCTACGGCTTTTGGCGCTTTAGATGATTGATGGCACTGACACTACTTCATATCTCTAACACGTGGCACTTTTTTAATGGCCCTGTGCAGCTAGGGTAACAGTCATGCTTGACTCCCAATCTTTTTGAATCATGGCACTCTTTCATGCCCCATATATACAGTTAGGGCTGGTGTTTGCCATCCTCTATTGTTCATCTTCTAAAGCACAAACCCACGCAACCAGAGCTTCAAGTAGCCACTTCCTTGTGCACGAGCCTTAGTATGAGTACCTTTTTCACCATTGCGAATTCACCATTGTTGTTGGAGCTCCTTCTTCTACTCGGATTCTAATTTTTCCTTCTCACCCATAAGTTTTCTATACTTTCACTGTTTCTCTATGAAATATTCAAGCATTCTTCGTATTGTTAACACACTATTTAGGTTTAAAAATAAGATTTTAGTATAGAGGTTCACTAAAATGAACTTAAGATTAGAACCTCTGTAATACCCCTTAAAATTCCACTTTTGAAGATGACCCTTCAAGATTGGAATCAGAAATAGTGATTTCGATCCAAAATCGTGTCACAACTGAACTAGAAATCTTTTTGTGCCCATTTAAGTGATTACAACCAAGCTAATAGCCCTAAATCTGCACTTGATCATGTTAAAACCTTGCCCCTAGTCAGAACTGGCAAAATCATTGCCCATTTCAGTCGAGCTAAAACCTTCCTCTAGCATTGGACTAGATTAAGACCACTAGCTTATGATTGAGCTACGCACCACATGCGCACACCTCCGGCCGAACAAACTATCAAATGATTGGTTTACATTGTTGCCTTAGCTCGGTCAACAATTGGGCATAACACTTTTTATTTGTCACCTTGCAGACTTGACTAGGTTGGCTAGGCACACCTTCACTTCACCACTTGGCGGTGCTACTCAACCGAGCAAACAAATCGAGACCGAGCTATCCAGTGGAGTAGACCTTAGTACCTTTTAATTTAAGACCATGGGCAAATATCGCTTTATGGTGAGTTCGTCCGGCACTATAATAGCCGAGTTCCAAAGGGACTACAACATATCTGACAATGTGCACTTCACCTTAGCCGAGCTAGATACCATACCTTGGGGGAAATCTAGTTTCCGCCCCTTCACCATGCTTTCAATCGTAGATGGTGGGTTTTGATTCTCAGTCCAACCCTTCATTTGTGAATTCCTTAAATAGACCAGACTTTACCCAACCCAACTCTCCACTAACACCTACTAAATTATAAATGGTATAGCTGAACTAAACCATTGTCTCGGTTTGAACCTAGGTCTGACTGAGATATTCCACTAATACTCGCTCGGCCAGAATGACGACGATTGGTGCCACTATCTCAAGGTTAAAAGAGGCCGAGAGAAAATCGTCAAGCGAACACCGGACAAGGACTTGCATGATGACGATTTTCTCTGGATCTCTGGTAATTAGAAGACCAAGAGGCCAGAATACCAGGCTATGACATTACCTAAAATAAGGGATTGCCTGGTAAGAATTGCTCAGTTCTCTTTTCATTTGCTATTTTGATGCTTCCTAACATGCTAACCTTTGTTCTTTTTTG